CTGTATGCCTAGCTACTCGGGAGGCTGAGGCAGGAGGATCCCTTGAACCCAGGAGTTCAAGGTTACAGCGAGCTATGATCATGCCACTGCACTCGAGCCTGGGTGACGGACTAAGACCCTGTCTCTAAAACTAACAACAATAATAGTCATATTAATAATCATAATAGTATCAACTTCATAAGAGTCCTTGATCATTAAGATAATAAATGCTCAGAACAGGACTTGCCATATAGAAGTCATTACATTAATGCTTGGTCTCTTGCAGTCATTCCAAACATAAATCCAGAAGATTGGGAAGATATACGGATAAAAAGCCCTGAAGTTTTTGTTTGTTTGTTTTGTTTGTTCATTTCTGAGACAGAGTCTTGCTCTATCACCCAGGCTGCTGTGCCGTGGCACCATCCCGGTTCACTGCAACCTCTGCCTTCCGGGTTCAAGCGAGTCTCCTGCCTCAGCCTCCTGAAGAGCTGGGATTACAGGCATGCCCCACACCTGGCTAATTTTTGTATTTTTAGTAGAGACCAGGTTTTCCCATGTTGGCCAGGCTGGTCTCAAACTCCTGACTTCAAGTGATCAGCCTGCCTCAGCCTCCCAAAGGGCTGGAATTACAGGCATGAGCCAGTGCACCCGGCCAGAAAACCCAAAGTTCTTTGTCGTTTTTTTGTTTTTTTGAGACAGTCTCGCTCTGTCGGCCAGGCTGGAGTGCAGCAGCATGATCTCGGCTCGCTGTAACCTCGCCTCCCAGGTTCAAGGATTCTCCTGCCTCAGCCTCCCCAGTAGCTGGGACTACAGGCACCTGCCACCACACCCAGCTAATTTCTGTATTTTTAGTAGAGACGGGGTTTCACCATGTTGGCCAGGCTGGTCGCGAACTCCTGAACTCAGGCGATCCACCTGCCTCAGCCTCCCAAACTGCTGGGATTACAGGTGTGAGTCACCGTGCCCAGCACTCCAAAGTTTTAAAGAAATGAGGCTCAAGATTTGGTAACAAGGGAATCCCAGCCAGATGCCAGCACCAGATCCCATGTGCTGTGCAGTGAGAGGTGCCAGGCAGGGCGCGAACGCCTCCCTCAACCCCAGGGCAGGCAGGGAGACCGGGAAGCCTTGCAACCCAGGGGGAGCCCAGCGACTCTTGCTCACTCCCTCCTTCCCTGGCTCCCTTGTGCCCCTCGCCTGCCCGCTGCCTGTCTGAATGGCCATCACCTCCATGCCACCCATTCCCATGCATCCAACCTCTAGCCCCAGCCTTCAGGACTGCGGTCTCTGGAGCCTCCACGGGCATCCCAGCCCCTCCCACCTCTCCTCTTTCCAAGAAGATCACCGGTTTCTTTACTTTGCTTTATTGTTCGTGGGGTGAAGATAAGGCCTTGGGCTTGAGAAAGTCATTGTCATATAGTTATAAACTGGGAGACTGGGTGAGAAGGCATAGAGACAACGGTCATCGCCCATCCTCCCTTTCTGCGGATGAGGTGGGACAAGGCCAGCTCCCTGGCTGGGGAACGGGATGCGAGAGCTCTCACAGCTTGGAGAAGGTGACGCTTTTCAGTTCCTTGTTCTCAGTCACGGCTTGGACCGACTTGGCGATGTCCTGGGTCTGCAGCATGCTCATGTTCCAGGACGCCTGGTACGGAGGGTGTTGGGAAAGAACGAGGAGACAGATTAGCAGGGGCCAATCAGGATGAAGCATGCGAGCACCCTGAGCCTTGGTTGGTCCCTGGGGTTAAAGGAGGGCTGTGACTGGTTGGAGCAAGCGCCTTACCACGTAGTTGAGGCTCTCGGCCACCGAATGGTCGCGGGAGTAGAGCAGGTTGACCTTGGTGCCCTGCACCGCCACGGGGCTCTTGCTGGAAATCTCGGCCGCCAGCGCTAAGGCAGCATCGAGCATGACCTCCTTGTCTGGCAACACCCGGCTGCAGCCAAAGAGATCAGGGACCGGGTGGGCTGGGAAGCGCTCTCTCCCCCAGCCTCCCGCAGATGAAGAAGTGGCCACTCACAGAGGAAGGCCCAAGACCCCAGAGAAACAGCCCAACGGGAGCAGGGGACTGACCCCACACTAAAGAAATGACCTCGCCAAGAAAGGATGCCACTTGGAATTCTCGAGCGAGGAGGCCTCCACCCCTCCAGACCTGGCTGCCCCCAGCACTCAGCCACCAGGGCCATGGCCCTACCTGACCAGGCCGCAGCCCAGGGCCTCATCAGCCATCATCTTGCGGGCGGTGAAGGCCAGCTCGTTGACCAGGCTGCAAAGGGGAGCGTGCATCAAGAGGTGGCTGTCACCCCGGGGCTGCGAGATGCTCTGGGGTGCCCCGCCCACACACCCACACCCCCTGCACCCACCTCTGGTTCCCGATGACCTTGGGCAGGCGCTGCAGTGTTCCTACATCGGCAGCCAAACCCACGTCCACCTCCTGGGGGAGGAACCGGGTCAGTGTTTGGTTTCTGCCCAATACTGTGCCCCTCGCAACGGCAACGTCCATGAAATTTCATGTTTACTGGAGAGTCCCGCCCCACCTTCACCCCAGGGACTTCCTCCAAAGTCCCACTCCATTGCCCAGGCAGCTTCTTGACTCAGGCAAGTTCCTTCAACCTAGAATAGAGCCCGCCTTCCCACTCACACGCCCTCCCATCCCTTCAGGGCAGCTCCATCTATCATGAGAGAGGCACCCTTTTCACCCTACCTGAGACCCCTTTACTGTGTCCCCGGCTCCATCCTGCCTCCCACCTTCATCCGTATGGCCCCAGGAGCAATCCCTGCCTCTGGCACCTGCCAGCCTCAACCCCACCCCATACCTTATCCATTCACAACTTCACCTCTTGACTTCCTCTACACACAAGTCTTACTTTGTCAGGTTCAACTCCGACTCTTCCATGAAGCCCTCGGGGCTCACTCCAGGCCCCCCAACCCCACCCCACTGCCCAGCTCTAAGCAGGAGCTCAGGAGGATGGCTCACCTTCACCTGGAAGAAAGCGTCCTGGGCACAGTACCGGATGTCACAGGCAGTGATAAGGTCCACACCTAGGAGGTAGAGGCCAGGGACGCTGAATGACCACCAGAACCAACCCCGCCCCCCAGGACATGTGGCTGCCTTTTGGGACAGAGTCTGGCCCATGACAGAGCTGAGGCTGGAGGCCAGTGGCCGCAGCATTGGGGCAGCAGCCGGACCCGGGGAGCACCCGAGCAGGAGGACAGCCACAGACTCACCTCCGCCAATGCAGCCCCCGTGGATGGCAGCAATCACAGGCTTGGGGCACTGAGAGGGAACAGGAAGAGTGGGGTCAGGGCTGGCCCAGGGGAGGCGGGCATGGAGGGGGATGCCCTCCAGCCCCCTAGAGTCACCTTCTCGATGACGCTGAAGGTCTCCTGATATCGAGTGA